AACTTTAAATGACTTCTGTTGTGATCTGGCGCTATAGAGAAAATATAATTAAATAAAATTAACTTGACCTTCAAGGGGGGTGGGGGGGTGCCGTTGGGGGGGGTAGGGGGGCGGACCGCCCCCCTAAAATAATGGCAGGGGGGTATGTGGGAAATAATGTTCTTTTTAGCAGCATCAAATGACCCCTTCAAGTTTTTCTTTTTTTCCTAATGACACTGATGATTAAAAAAAGGACAATGAAAAAAAAACAACAATATTTCAAATCAAGTGCTATGATCACTATTTTTTTCCTTGTAATTGTTTGTGGTTGCAAAAATGTCGTGTTACTTCCTTTTATTACAACTGGCTCTGATCTTCTCTAATTGGCGGAAGGTTAATTTTTGTGAATTACATTCTACGTGAATGTAATGGTCTGACACTTCTAGAAAACCCCTAAACTGAAAGATGTGGTTAAGACTGACCGAATTTCTAGTGCTGTCATCATCACTGTCCTCATTCTCCGAGGGCTTCTCATCTGCCTCCTCCACACGACTCACATCTTCCTCTCCGTAACCAGCCCACACCAATCCACCATGAGATCCTGACAGACAAGCACAAAAAAGCTCTTTTCAATTCCACAGGTATATACCATAGTTAGTTATTAGTTATTGTTGCTACTGTAAATCCATAAAACACTAATATGAGATATTTTGTTATAACAGTTGATGCTAACTGTCGTGTCAATGAAGGTTACAAGCATAAAGTTACATAAAGCAGAAGAAGAAAATACATTTTAAAAAAAAAACTTCAACATTAAGTAAATAAAGCAGGAAACAAACCAATTTTACATGCACTGCCCTCTACAAAACTCAATGCTAAACTATTCATCATAACAGCAGCCGTACTACAACCCAGCAATTAATAAAAACCCCAATTGAGCCCATAACAGTAATATATTTTTAAAAAATAAGTCATTTTTTGTCTATTCCACAACATTTGATCATTCTGTTATTTATAGCGACGCGTACATTAGCGTTACGTTACCCCTACATCGACAACAAAGCCGCCAGCGTTGCAAAGTCCCAGTATTTACATGTTTTCCCTAACACTACTTAGAGTTTATACCTTGATCATCTGTGTCTGGATCGGAATCCTGCTCTGAATCATCTCCATAAGCCGCTAGTGAAGTGAGAATAGCATTCTTTTTACCGCTCGCCATGTTCAGCGTTGGCGCACAATAGTGACGTTATGCTATGTTCAGTGTGCGCATGCTCGGCGTTTTGAAACGCGCGTCGCGTGGAATACGCAGATCTGTTTGGTTGCCATAGGTTACCACGACGCTTTTGGAAACTTTGACCAGACATTCAAACTTTTGTTAGAGTTACCACTTTAAAGTAAAAGAACAACAACTAAAAATAACTTAATGGTAGTATTTATTACAACCGACGTTATACTGACAGTGACATTCGAGTGAATATGAAAAAAATAAGTCATTTTTTGTCTATTCCACAACATTTGATCATTCTGTTATTTATAGCGACGCGTACGTTAGCGTTACGTTACCCCTACATCGACAACAAAGCCGCCAGCGTTGCAAAGTCCCAGTATTTACATGTTTTCCCTAACACTACTTAGAGTTTATACCTTGATCATCTGTGTCTGGATCGGAATCCTGCTCTGAATCATCTCCATAAGCCGCTAGTGAAGTGAGAATAGCATTCTTTTTACCGCTCGCCATGTTCAGCGTTGGCGCACAATAGTGACGTTATGCTATGTTCAGTGTGCGCATGCTCGGCGTTTTGAAACGCGCGTCGCGTGGAATACGCAGATCTGTTTGGTTGCCATAGGTTACCACGACGCTTTTGGAAACTTTGACCAGACATTCAAACTTTTGTTAGAGTTACCACTTTAAAGTAAAAGAACAACAACTAAAAATAACTTAATGGTAGTATTTATTACAACCGACGTTATACTGACAGTGACATTCGAGTGAATATGCCCCCCAAACGGAATAAAAGTGCTACTCCATCTGGGGTTACTCCGACTGGGCCAGCTGCTGCTAATAAAAACTGGGAAACAGCTCTTACTTCTGCTGTATTTGAAGAGGTAACATATAAATGATCCTCAAGAAACCGTTGTTTTGTTTCTTCTTCCTCCTCTTCTTCTTCTATATCCCATATCTTCTAATGTATCTATTCAAATCAGCATCATTTACTCATCTTCATGTTGTTCTAAACATTTTGACCGAATGTGTGGCAGAATGGCAATCTCAGTCACCATTTACTTTCAGTGTATGTGAATATATCAATATGCAATGAAAGTGAATGGTGACTAGGTGACCCCCTAACATTCATCTCTTTTTGTGTCATGGATGAATTAAAGTCATACTGGTTTGGAACCACGTGAGAGTGAGTAAATGGTGCCTGATTATCATTTTGGGATGAACTATGCTTTTAAATAAAGAAATGCAAACGTTCATTGCGTTCATTGCAACCAGGAGTGTCAAACTCTGGAGCCCTGCAGAGTTTAGTTCTAACCCTGCTCCAACACATACCATGTAGTTTTCAAATAAGCCTGAAGGACTGGATCAGGTACATTTAATTAGGGTTGAATCTAAACACTGCAGGGCTGTGGCCCTCCAAGAACTACAGATTTTTAAAAAAATTTATTAGACAAAATGTATGTTTTTTCTCCTCTGAATCATCTATGACTAGAATGACTGGAGGGCCAGTCTGTCTATGGTGCAGGCAGAAAAAGCAGAGGACGAACAGCTCATCAGCGCCCTCCTGCAGGCGGTCCAGCAGCCCCTGCGCAAGCTCTTCAGTGTGCTGTCCTGGGAGGACACTCTGGAAAAGGTCTGAAATATGGTTTCTGTTCTGTGATAATTCACATTAGATCATTAGAGAGTATTATTAATGAAATGTAGATGGGTGTGATGGAAAGGAATAACATTTAATTGTGTTTCATTAAAGAAATATTACAATCTTCTGTGACACAGATCAATGAACTGGGAAACCCAAAGACCAGAAAGACCAAAGATGTTCCCATGTTTTGTGAGGTGGGAATTGTTATTCACCATAAAAAACAGAAATGTTAGTATAGTGTTACAGTTACAAAAATGTATTGATCGTGTATAGTTTTAAGATCCAGTCATCCTACGGTGGATGTATAGTTTTGGAGCAAAAAACAAAAAAACAATCAGTTTGAAATTTAAAATGAAATAAAATTAATAAACTAAATAATGCTAAATTATGTTGTCTATTCATGGTTTCAGTTAAATGTCTTTTGTGCTTCTGTAGGTGACTGAAGTTGCAAAGTCTATAATGGATGTTGGAGAGGAAATTACTGTGGACCTGATGGCAAAATTAATAAAGTTTCAGCTTCTGACCATCAAAAATAATGACATTGCAAGGAGGGCTGCTGAGCAGAAGGTGAAGGCTTTTTACAAACAGCTCATGTCATGTCAATTATTCTATTCAAATTTACACTGCATATGTGACAAATTCTAATTAAATATACAATGCATAATTTTTTTAACATGTCTCTGATGAACAGTAACACAGACTATGTGTATTAAAGTCTATAGAGGATAACGCCCGTGCTAAAACAGGACTGAGTTCTGCCGGCAAGGACCAGGGGGGTAAAGGAGCAGCAAAGGGGAAGAAAGCTGCCGAGCTTCCAGTTCCAACTAAAGACACCAATCTCAAACGCAGAGGGGAAGAGGAAAATATAATCAAATACATAGGTGTCCATTTCTGTATTGTTTCTTGTCAAATATCTGCATATATCAGAATACAAAAGTAAAATGGGTTTGCAAACAGTGTTTTAATTTTTACTTTGAACATGTGTTCAGATGATGAGCCTGATGACGGGCCACAGCACTACATCCTGATTGTGGGGTTCTGCCAGCCTCATTTAATCTCTGCATTGGACGGTCTGGGTATCCACGTGTCCAATATCATTAAACTGGGCTTAGATAGAGAAGAAGAATTAGAGGCTCCAGAGGAAACAGTCTCAGATGAGAATCACCACTCAACTGAAGATCAAGGCAAATTGCTAAGAATTTTATTACGTTTATACCTTTCAAATTATATTACACAGTACATGCAGAATATGCAGGCTAGCTCAAACTGGACGACTGATGTTATATTTGTATGCATGCAAAATCAAAATGTAAAATCATCCAGTATTAACTCGTCTTGTGTTCAGAAGTAGAGACACTTAAACAAAAGAGGCAGTGGGAGCTAGATGTGTTCTGGAAGCAGCTGGATCAAGTCTTGAACAGTGGGAATATGGGATCCAGGCTCAGTGATGTTGCCAGGTTGAACTATAATGTGAAGATTCATTTGCTGCCCCAGGACAAAGGCAACACTGAAGCAATGGTGAATGGAGAACAAGAAGTACACTTTCTTCTACCTGTGATTCAGATTTTTTTTCTGTTTCTGTTTAATATGTGTTGTGTGTTGATTGTCATAATATATCTAAAACCCTTGTAAAAAAAAAAAAAGGTTCCACATATTACATTACTTTATCTACCACTACTGTCTATAGCTGGCATTTGGAGCTGCTATATTTGAGGGGGTGGCATGTCTTGTATATGACAGCATGGACTGGAGGAGACAGTACAGCCATTATCTCAGCTGTATAAGGTTTATCCAGGTACCAGAGGCCTGCAGATCCATCCAGCAGTCCCGACCGCAGAGCTCCACTGAGGTACACATCAGCCTTTACAGATAGTTGTGTTGTCAATATGATAAGGCCTTTCCACAATTCATGGCCTTAAATTGATAAAGTCATGGCATTAAATGTTGCATGCATTGCAAAAAAATGAATACCTTCCTCAGTATTTTGTTACAAATATAATCAGCCTTAAATCAAGATACAATACATTCAAAAAGTAATGGAGATTGGTTGGAAGTTGCTTTTTAAACTTTGACACGTTACATACAACTCATAACTAGACCTTTACATTTTGAAAACATATTTTTCCCTTCAATTTATTCCTTACATTTTCTTTACTTGGTCTTAAAAAAGTCTTAAATTTACAAACAAAAAACCTGCAGAAACCCTGAATGTAGCAAGTGCAGTTTTTTCTCAAATGCAGTTCCTTTCAGAAGAGACTTCTTGTGGCAGGATGTACATGTTGTTGTTGTTTTTTTTTGGCGATGATATTTTTCATGGTTTATGTTTTAGGTTGTACAACCCCCAAGGAAGAAAGTAGCATCAGAGGAAGACCCTGGTATACAAGACATGATACACTATTAATGAGATTTGGTTTTACATATAAAATAAAAGCACAATATAAAATATAAATATAAATTTAAGGTTTAAGTTGCACAGTCTCCCATGGACGTTCATGCAAAATGTAATCAACAACAATAACATTTATTAAAGTTGTGATTGAATTAATGTTGTGTCATTTAAAGTAAGAGCACAAAATCCTGTGCACACTCAAAATATTCTTAAATATTTCCTCAGCAGAGCCAGAGTCTCCTGTTCTGAGCACAGAGGTGGATATGAGATTCTACTGTGACCTACTGGACAGGATTCCTACTGAAATCCCATCTGTGCCTTTTATACTGCATTGCATGCTAGAGCAGGTAAGGGCACTTTGTATGATTCAATATAGCCTTCAATTTGAAAAGATAAAAGACTGCTGAACGTATCACTGTATGAGCATACAGACATAAATATAAAAATAAACAAAAATGTGCAACTTTTTTTAATTAACATTTGCACACAGGTTTTACAATCAAATAGGTACACATGCCCTACTGAACGAGGCACATCTGCTGCAAGATGTTGATTTCTTTGAAGATTTGGCTGCTAAATTTGACTTCCTGTGAGATTTTTAGGTGGTGGCTTCAGAACAGGAAGGATCTGATGATTCAGAAGAGTGCTGTGATAAAACAGATCAAGATCTAATCAGTTACATGCTCTCATCTGTGCTGAGTCTGCCACAGGATGAAGAAGACAATAAGGTAAAATGTGGATCACACCAATGCTACAACAGCAAAAAGTCACTGGGTTTCTAAATCAAAATCTTACTATAGTTTTTCTATTATCTCTGCTGGTGTAATGGCAGGATCTCATGAAGAATCTTGAGATGCACAACAGCCCAAAGAATACTGATCAGAAACACCCGCTCCTGCTCAATCACCATGATGAGAGAGCGAGAAGACTCCATCAGCTTCCTGTGAGCATGTGAACATACATTCACAAGGCTCATAATAAAAAGGATGTTGGATTCAAACACAAAAA